ATAGTCATCAATATATTACATATTATATATATGTCTATATCACTAGTATATATGATAATATATATATAGCAATAGGTAATGTAAGTAGCATATGTACTCACTAATAATGTTTCTAAGAATTTGCTCTTATACATATAAGATATATATTTTTTCATTTATGAGTAAAAATATATTTTTTCCAAAGATACCTTACACATTACTTAGACATATATATAACAAGGCATTTATTGCTAACATCCGCTAAATGCTACTTTAAAATAATTTTCAACATAATAAACAAACACAATGAAATATATTTTTTCGTTAGTTCGATACTTTTGAGAAATTAGGTTGCATCCAAAATTTCGTTGTCTAGTCTGAGCGAAGAGCGTTTGCTAGTTTAAGCTACAATTCAGTTTACCTTCGCACGACCTACATTAAAACTCTCAATTCTAAATTAAATCAATTTTCTTAGATATTTGTTTATTGTCATCAAAATTTTATCGAGTATGTGTTGGTAGGCTGATTAATTTTGTATTGTTAAAAGTGAACAGTTAACCTGAGACTTCCTTCATTACGTCATTTAACATGTCACTTATTATGTAGATGAATTATTCTTAAATCTGTTTTATGTACTTCTCTTTATAAAAATATTTTCGTAATTCAACGACAAAGAAGATTTTCTGCCATACTTTACCTATGGATGTTTTTCCTGCCTGCTTCATCACATAGCATATATTACATCACATAGCAATGCTACACAGAGCATATATACATCACTTGCAGTATCTACATTCACATAGCTATGCCTACTCACATAGCTATGCTACATAACATAGCATATGCTTCATCACATAGCATATGCTACAATCACATAGCATATCTACATCACATAGCATATATTCATACATAGCTATGCTAATCACATGCATCTTCAGTCCTAAGATTAGCTAACTCACATTAGCATATGCTTCAATCACACTTCACTCACATACGCATATCTTCATACATAGCTATGCCTACATCACATAGCTATGCTTATCACATAGCATATGCTTCATACATGCATATGCTACATCAATTACACTAGCTTCATCACATAAGCAATGCTACTCCTAGCATATGCTACATCACATAGCATTGCTACATCACAAGCTTATGCTAACTCCATGCATGCTACTCACATAGCAAATGCTTCATCCTTCATATGCTACCATCACATAGCATATGCTCCATCTCAGTACATAGCTTCATTCACATTGCATATCTAATCACAAGCTTGCTTCATACTAGCATTGCTTCATCACATAGCTATCCTTCATCACCATAGTATGCTATACAGCATATGCTTCATCACATAGCATATGCTACATCACATGCATTGCTTCATCACATAGCATATGCTTCATCACATAGCATATGCTACTTCATAGCCTAAGCTTCATCACAAGCATATGCTTCATCAACATAGCATATACTACATCACATAGACATAGCTTCATCACATAGCATTACCTACATCAAGCTATGCTAATCACAGCATATGCTACCTCCAGTAGCATATGCTAAATCACAGCATTTCTTCATCACTTGCATATGTTAACATAGCATATGCTACATACAAGTAGACATATGCCTTCATCACATAAGCATATGCTTCATCACATAGCTAATGCTTCATACATACTATGCTTCATCCTAGCAATGCTTCCACATAGCTATGCTACATCCATAAGCATATGCTTCATCAAGTAAGCAATATGCTCTTCAAGTATGCTATTCACATAGCATATGCTTCCACATAGCAATGCTCATCACATAGCATTAACACATCACATAGCATGGCTTCATCACAAGATATACTACTTCACATAGCATTGCTACCTACATAGCATTGCTACAATTCACATAGCATATGCTCATCACATGCTAACTCATACTTACGTCATTACCTTTAGATTGTTGTCCAATAATGATTGTGTCAGTCTGAGCCGGAGACTTCAGTAGGTGGAAGTAGCTACGGGAACCTAAGTTAACAACTTCCCTTCAGTACCTAAGTTAACAACTTCCCTTCAGTACCTAAGTTAACAACTTCCCTTCAGTACCTAAGTTAACAACTTCCCTTCAGTACCTAAGTTAACAACTTCCCTTCAGTACCTCAGCACGAGCATTACTGGTTTAGAAAGTACATTGTACAGATTTACTTGAAATGATCATGTCATCGTTATGCAATAAATTTTCATAACTTACTATAATATGACGAAAAGAAAAACATTGTTATGTATTATAATAAGGCAGAGTACCAATTTTAACACTAAGGCTGGTACCAAGTTATAATAAAACAAGGAGGTCAAGATTATTAAAATACAAGGCAGGGTACCAACAATTTTTATTGTAGATTATTAAAATACAAGGCAGAGTACCAAGATTATTAAAACACAAGGCAGGGTACCAAGATTATTAAAACACAAGGCAGGGTACCAAGATTATTAAAATACAAGGCAGGGTACCAAGATTATTAAAACAAGGCAGGGTACCAAGATTATTAAAACACAAGGCAGGTACCAAGATTATTAAAACTACAAGGCAGGGTACCAGATTATTAAAACACAAGGCAGGGTACCAAGATTATTAAAATACAAGGCAGGGTACCAAGATTATTAAAACACAAGGCAGGGTACCAAGATTATTAAAACACAAGGCAGGGTACCAGATTATTAAAATACAAGGCAGGAGTACCAAGATTATTAAAATACAAGGCAGGTACCAAGATTATATAAAACACAAGGCAGGGTACCAAGATTATTAAAATACAAGGCAGGTACCAAGATTATAAAAACAAGGCAGGGTACCAAGATTATTAAAACACAAGGCAGGGTACCAAGATTATTAAAATACAAGGCAGGGTACCAAGATTATTAAAACACAAGGCAGGGTACCAAGATTATTAAAATACAAGGCAGGGTACCAATATTATTAAAATACAAGGCAGGGTACCAAGATTATTAAAATACAAGGCAGGGTACCAAGATTATTAAAATACAAGGCAGGGTACCAAGATTATTAAAATACAAGGCAGGGTACCAGATTATTAAAATACAAGGCAGGGGTACCAAGATTATTAAAACACAGGCAGGGTACCAAGATTATTAAAACCAAGGCAGGGTACCAAGATTATTAAATACAAGGCAGGGTACCAAGATTATTAAAATACAAGGCAGGGTACCAATATTATTAAAATACAAGGCAGGGGTACCAAGATTATTAAAATACAAGGCGGGTACCAAGATTATTAAAATACAAGGCAGGGTACCAAGATTATTAAAATACAAAGGCGGGTACCAAGATTATTAAAATACAAGGCAGGGTACCAAGATTATTAAAATACAAGGCGGGTACCAAGATTATTAAAAACACATAGGCAGGGTACCAAGATTATTAAAATACAAGGCGGGTACCAAGATTATTAAAATACAAGGCAGGGTACCAAGATTATTAAATACACATGGCAGGGTACCAAGATTATTAAAATACAAGGCAGGGTACCAAGATTATTAAAAATACAAGGCAGGGTACCAAGATTATTAAAATACACAGGCAGGGTACCAGATTATTAAAATACAAGGCAGGGTACCAAGATTATTAAAATACAAGGCAGGGTACCAAGATTATTAAAATACAAGGCGGGGTACCAAGATTATTAAAATACAAGGCAGGGTACCAAGATTATTAAAATACAAGGCAGGGTACCAAGATTATTAAAATACAAGGCAGGGTACCAAGATTATTAAAATACAAGGCAGGGTACCAAGATTATTAAAATACAAGGCGGGGTACCAAGATTATTAAAACACAAGGCAGGGTACCAAGATTATTAAAATACAAGGCAGGGTACCAAGATTATTAAAATACAAGGCAGGGTACCAAGATTATTAAAATACAAGGCAGGGTACCAAGATTATTAAAAACAAAGGCAGGGTACCAAGATTATTAAAATACAAGGCAGGGTACCAAGATTATTAAAATACAAGGCAGGGTACCAAGATTATTAAAACACAAGGCAGGGTACCAAGATTATTAAAATACAAGGCAGGGTACCAAGATTATTAAAATACAAGGCAGGGTACCAAGATTATTAAAACACAAGGCAGGGTACCAGATTATTAAAATACAAGGCAGGGTACCAAGATTATTAAAATACAAGGCAGGGTACCAAGATTATATTAAAATACAAGGCAGGGTACCAAGATTATTAAAACACAAGGCAGGGTACCAAGATTATTAAAATACAAGGCAGGGTACCAAGATTATTAAAACACAAGGCAGGGTACCAAGATTATTAAAATACAAGGCAGGGTACCAATATTATTAAAAACAAGGCAGGGTACCAAGATTATTAAAATACAAGGCAGGTACCAAGATTATTAAAATACAAGGCAGGGTACCAAGATTATTAAAATACAAGGCAGGGTACCAAGATTATTAAAATCACAGGCAGGGTACCAAGATTATTAAAAACAAGGCGGGTACCAAGATTATTAAAATACAAGGCAGGGTACCAAGATTATTAAAATACAAGGCAGGGTACCAAGATTATTAAAACACAAGGCAGGGTACCAAGATTATTAAAACACAAGGCAGGGTACCAAGATTATTAAAATACAAGGCAGGGTACCAAGATTATTAAAACACAAGGCAGGGGTGACCAAGATTATTAAAATACAAGGCAGGGTACCAATATTATTAAAATACAAGGCAGGGTACCAAGATTATTAAAATACAAGGCAGGGTACCAAGATTATTAAAATACAAGGCAGGGTACCAAGATTATTAAAATACAAGGCGGGGTACCAAGATACAGGTGGAGCAGGAGTTCAAACAGCACCGTTTGTAATATAACATCTCACAAATCTTCGTAATATAGCATATTAGCACTAATATAGTAGTGGAATGTGTTGTTAACCTTCCAGAGTTAAATTATCTTAAAATATTTTTTTTCTAAACAGTTTTTATTCTTTCAGGCAACCTTCAATACATCTGGACGTCTGGTCGTCTGTGTGACTTCACTGGATGTGAGTCCAGACAGGACCTCAAGCCCCTTAACATCAACGGTTGGTTCTGGTCTGGCACCAACACTAAGATGGCCCCCACCAACAAAATCCCTCCAGGTTGGAGCTATCAACCATGGAGTCAGACTGGTCACACTGGCGTCCCACAGCCAGACAACGCTGAGTTCGACATTAATCAGACAAGTGAATCCTGCCTGGGCGTCCTAAACAACATTTACAAAGATGGTATTAAGTGGCACGATATTGCATGCTACCATCCTAAGCCCTTCGTATGTGAAGACAGCGATGTGCTCTTAGAATATGTTCGAGCCACCAACCCCGGCTTGCAGCTGTAGACTGCTGACACTGTCATTGTTTACTGTGTCATAATGTAAGCACAAACATTAATAGTTACTTATAAAGTAGTAAACATCAAACGAACTTGCACCACTACATTTTCTCAGTGGTCAACAACGTTATTGCAAACTGATTCCTAAATGTTATATTTAAATTCCAAGTAATCAACTCAGAAGCACAAAAATCCTAATTTATTATTGATTAAAAGATAAACATGTAAACTATTTTGACGTATGGCATGTGCTGCTGCAAGTGCATTTCACAAACTGTTCTATTAAATATCAAAACATTTATCTCACAAAAAAATTTATATATATATATATATATATATATATAATATATATATATATATAAAAATTATATATATTGTTATATATAATATATAAATTATATATAAATATTTAATTATAAATATATACTATATATATTATATATATTATAATATAAATTTAAAATTATTTATATATATAATACATTTTATAAAATTTTAATTATTCTTGGAAGAGTGGGAAGAGTAGACATATGGTGGTCATAAAAAGATGAGCGTTGCAGTTAATGACTGATGCGTAAGTGATGACCATAGTGTTGGTGCTCCCATGACCAGACTGACCAATTAGCAGATTAACTCTCACCAACTCACACTACTATATTTATTGTGATACATTACATTATTTCTATAATAATTGTGTGTACAACGTGTCAATTAAACCCCCATATAAACTTGTGTTTCATAGACCACCAACAAGGAACTTGTTATAATATTGCTCAGGCAAGAACAAGTGCTCCGATCGCACAATTTTACTATCAACCACTTGGTTTAAATAGGTTAGTTTTGCCAGGCACAGAAGTACATCCTAACGCGGTCTTTGTATATGATGACATAGCTTGAGTTTTGTATCGACCAGATACCTTCCAGCTGGTTACCGCATCGCCTCTTTAAAACTTCTGGTATGATAATAACCTTTAAAGTATAATATATCGAACTCCTGTTACGTTAGGCTCCCTACAAACTTTTAATGTACTTATCACACTCATATATATATATATATATATATATATATATTATATATATATATATATATATATATTATTATATATATATATTATATATATATTATTTATATATATTATTATAATATATATTATATATACTATAAATTCATATTATATATAATATTATATATATATATATATAATTATAGTATAATATATATTATATATATATTAATATTATATCTAACATATATATATATATATATTTTATATATATAATATATATATATAAATATGCATACTATATATATGAAATTATATATATATATATATGCAATAATTATATAATATATTATATACTTATATAATATTATATTAGCTATAATATATATATATGTATATAATATTATAAATATTTTATTTATATTTATATATAAGTTTTAACCTATTATATATGTATATATATATATATATATATATTATAATATATATATAATTATTAAAATTATATATACTAATATTTATATATGATTTATGCAATAGATCCACTAAACAGTTGATTCAGAATATGCAAACTACCACTGTGAATGTAATAGAAAATTCCAAGAGACTTCGTGACTACTCAAATTATATATTATATTATATAAATATTAATATAAGATATATTTAATATTATATATATATATATATAATATATAATATTGGGTTTTAAATATATGAGGTCCAACCTCTAGAACTGTCCTGGGCATCTCATCCTCAGCAAAGAATTAAACTTGCTTCAGGAAACTAAGTTCCCTGAAGCTGTTTGAAATTTCTCCTACCGACTCCTATATGATCCTAATATCATCTCCAAAGCACCAACAATAATTTACTGGAGTTACCTGGAGGAGTTCCGGGGGTCAACGCCCGCGGCCCGGCTGTTTTACCAGGCCTCTAGTGGGTCAGAGCTGATCAACAGCTGTTGCTGCTGGCTGCACGCAAACCAACGTACGAGCCACAGCCGGCTGACGGAACTGACTTTAGGGGTGCTTGCCAGTGCCAGCTTTAGATGCCGGGGTCGTTGTATCCCCCTTATTGTGCTGGAGGCGTTGGAACAGTCTCGGGCCCTGACATTATTGTATGGTCTCTAACGTGCTAGTGAACACCCTGCTTTTCATTGGGGGAGGTGCATCGTTGCCAAGTCGTTTGCTTGGGTGTGATTTTGTGTGCTGCAAGTCGGTATAGTCCCTCTTAGGATTTCCAGGTGTATATAATCATGTATTCTCCCTCCTGCGGTTCCAGGAAATACAGGTTTAGGAACCTCAAGCGGTCCCAATAATTGAGGTGTATTTAAACTCCGTTATGCGCGCCTGTGAAAGATTCTCGTACATTTTCTAGTCGGCAATTTCACTGGCATTAAGGTTGCGTTAGTGTGCAGCATATTCCAGCCTGATGAACAAGTGACCTAAGAGTGTCTCATGGGCTTGGCCTCCCTAGTTTTGAGGTTCTATTATCCAGCCTTCATTTTTAGGCAGATTGCAATTGAATGATGGTCCCTTAAGGGAGTCTCTCCGACATGATCATCCCAGGTCTTTAACGTGGTTGTTCGCTCTAATTTGTGGCCAAGAATGTTTTGTACCTGCTGAGATTTATTTCCTTCATTTTACATATCTGAAGTAATTGAAATTTCTCATCGTTGAACTTATATTGTTTTCGAGCCCACTGAAAGATTTGGTTGATGTCCGCCGTGGCTTTGCTGTCTGCAATGGAAGACACTGTCATGCGATCGGTTCATCTGCAAGGAAGACACGGTGCTGTGGCTTGACATCCTTGTCTATGCGGATATGAGATAGGACAAGATGGGGCGAGTATGTGCCTTGTGGAACAGAGCTTTCACCGTAGCTGCTCGGACTTTACTCTGTTGACGACTATCTCTGTGTCTGTTGTGAGGAAATTATAGATCCATCTTGACCGACTTTTCCTGTTATTCCTTTAGCACGCATTTTGGCGCTATTACCATGGTCACACTTGTCGAGCTTTTGCAATGTCTGTATATATTACATCTGCAAAATTTTGTTTCTAGTGCATTTAGGACTTGTCGTAGTGATCAATAGTTGTGACAGAAGGAGCGACTGTTTAAACATGTTGCCCTGGGTTGTGTAATGATGGGTTTCTATGGGTGGTGATCTGCTTCTTAAGCCTTCAAAGATTTTATGATATGGGATGTAGTGCTAATGGTCTGTAGTTCTTTGCTGTTTTTTACTGCCCCTTTGTGGGGGGCTATGTTGTTGTTTTAGTACTGTGGGTCGACCCCCGTGTCCATGCTCCTCTCCATAGGATGGAAATGGCTCGTATAGGGGCTATCTCTGCAGTTCTTGATGACTCAGAGTTTCCATGGTCTGGCCCTGAGTTTGGCAGAGTGCATGGATGTCTTTATCGCCTGTTCGAAGTCTATTTTGGCGTCAGGATTAACTCGGATAGGCTTGTGGAATCATATTTTGTGGCTCCTCATAAAATCATTTTGATCTTGACTCTCAGTTCTGGTTAGCGGCTTGCTAAAATGAGTCAATATTGGGACTTGAGTAGCTCACTCATTTCCTTGCTGTCATCTGTGTGGACCCTCTGTTTAAGTAGGGGCCCAATACTGGATCGTTGTTCTCGATGTGATTTGGCAGTAGAGAGAAATACTTTGGGTTTCTTTCGATTTCATTTATGGCTTTTAGTTCTTCCGCGATTCGACTTAAGGATTCTTTTAGCTTAAGTTCGAGTGCTGCTATTTCTCTGACCTGGTCTCCCTAAGCATTTCAGATATTTGCCCTTTGCCGCTCTGTTTTCTTTTCGTCGCTGTAAAGGGAGCGCCGTCTCTTTCTGTTGTGCACTACTCTCCTTTTTCTTAGTGGAATAAGCTTGTGCATACATCGGTGCCACCGAGTAATCAGTTCAGGCATAAGTGGGGTTGTGTTGCTTAGATATCTTCCCAGCTATATCGGTTGGACTTGGTTTAGTTGGTCCCACTTTATGTTTTGTTATTGAGTGAATTTGGTGGAATGTCCCTCGTGAAATATATTTTCGGTCTGGAGGCTCGCATACATGACTGAACCTCAATTAGTTGTGATTGATATATTGTTTTTGATATGGTGACATTTTATCAATCATCATTGTTAGTGAAGATGGGTCTATGTATTTCCGTCTAGTAGGCTCATTATTGCTGGTTTAAATTGATTTTGGTCAGAGATTTAAATAGCTCGGTGGTGTGAGTTTTCAAGGAGCTGCCTCCTGGTTTATTACTGCAACATTATTGCTATATTCTCATTTTAGAGTGCCTTAAGTTGAAATCCCCAGGAGCAAGATGTTGGGTGCAGGCGGAAGGTTTTCCAGACCCAGTGGTCAATTTTTAAAAGCCTGTTCCTGAATTGTGGATTGCAATCGGAGGTTGTAACTACCACAATGACTAGGTTGGTACTCGCCTTTACTGCCTAAAACTCATAACATCATTTGAGGCATTTAGCGTTCTGTGCAAACAGTGACTCTGCAATGTACGGGCCAACCCCCTCCCCCCTTTTGCCTGTTCACTCTGTCACATCTTATAGGTGTAACCTGGGATCCATATTCGTTGTCCAAGTGATCCTTATGTGGTCTCAGTGAAACCGCGAACATTGCCTTGCTCTGCAAGCAGTCACGGATGAAAGGTATTTTGTTGTTTGTTGCTGGCTTTAACACTGTATATTTGCAAGAAGAATGTTACGGACTGGTGGTATTGTGGTACTGGGGGATTTTTTTTTTCCGGGATTAGTATCTGTATCTGTTGGTTTGGAGTGGGCCCGACGTGTTCCACTCAGGAATGACTGATTTGGTTAGATTCTGCCATTTCTGCAGTTTTATTTTCTTCTGCAATAAATAAAACCTACTCTCTTTAGTGGCGTGGCTACCAGGTTTCCCTGCCTGATGTATGGTATCTTTTTGTCCCCTTTAGATGGTATGCTGCAATTTAAGTTATAGCACAGTCTTTCCTGTACTGAAGAGGTACACAGTTCGGGGAAAAAGCTTACAGGAAGGAGTTTGCATTTTCTGTTGTCATATGGGCATGCATTTTCTAGGTGGTCAAGTTGCACGTCCATCTTGTTTTTCCAGATTTCAATCCAATACGAGTGCAACTAGTATGTGCAACAGGCTTGGTTTCACGTTTCCTTGGTTTCTGTGACTGATCCGTTGGGCATGTTT